TGTTGTTTCTGTTGACTTAAGAACTCGAGCACACGCATCAGATTTCAAGATCTTTATACAAGAAAGTATTAGTTCATAATGTGGGCGGTCATGGCTTTCCACAGTTTCCTGTAATTTTGTTACTCTCAGCAATAATTTAACCTGTCATTTTGATACTTGTTCTTTCATTCATTTGATCAAACTTGTCAAGTTGGTTACTCTCTGATTCCATCCGTTTCGCTTGCCATCGATATATCTCGTGTGTGTTATATTTTTTTTAGTCTTCCTTCCTCATTATCTGTCTCAAGAATTTCAGCAGTTTCTTTGTAGTCCATATTCTCCTTAACCACATCTCAAGTTTCTAAATGTTTATGGATTTTAGTGAAGTTCAGTGATTGGGCCGGAATTTGATGAGTAAAGATAACAAAATATCAAATGACAAATTAGCGAAGTTTAAAAGAATGCAGCTAACATGTTTTTTTTTAAATGTCATATCCTTTAATGACGTTGGCGATCATGGCTCTCCACAGATTCCTTATATGATATATAAGAATTGCTATGTTTTTTTGTGAGTGATAGTTGAATAGTTTTCAGTTGCCTTCGCCACGGTTGGAATTCAGATTTCCTTCTCTCAGTTTGGTTTCCCATTTTTACCCTGCTTTTTAACTCAATGATGGAGGGAGAAGAGATGGATTCTTGCCTTTCCCCAGAGTATTAGTGCGAAAAGACAGATACTGCGAAAAGTTAGTATAACAGTATCGGTCAGAATTTGAACTCGTCACGCCGAGTTTACTTTCTGTGCCGATAGCCGTTACACTGCCCGCACGTCCACAGTTAATATTAGGGTTTTGTTATTCGTTGATAATTTTCATAATAAATAAATAATAATAAAAACTTATTTTTATTTGACTTCAATAACTGGGTGCTATATGACTTGCTAGTACCCACCCAATATTAGAAGATGAAAAATTCCATTTTAAAATTAAAGGCAACAAATTATCGCTGATTTGTTCTAATAAAATATCTCCGGTAATAAATACTTTTATTACTTCTTTGATAGACTTTCGTGGTGTAATAATAATAAGTAGCATAGCTGACTGTGTGTAGATCTAGAATAATCTCTCACTCACTTAATCTGCGCATTGATTTCGTGACAGTTAACTGCCTTACGAGGATTGGTGGGACAAACAATATTCGGGACTTTGCAAAATCTCCAGTAAATACGAATTTTTATTTATTAATGGAACAATATTAACAATTAAATTTTTTAACGTCTGTTTATAAGTTTCAGTTTTTTTTTCTTTTTAACGGGTTGCATAAATACCTATCTGTCGGGTAACAAAAGTTCAAAATTGTACTCTTCAATCAGAAAATATATTTCCATTTGTCAATGATGGCAAGTAAGTAAAAACGAATTTAAAAATTTGTATTCAAAATCCTAACCACATACGTAGTTTCGGATACTATGAAATACGCAACTATCGCAGCTACTAGGCAAAATACAAACATACATACATACATACATACATACATATATATATATATATATATATATAGGGTGTGATGGGTACATTGTCGGCAGTTGATATTTTTAATTTCACACGTTCTTTGTTCGTTTTTGATTTTGTCGACTGTGCAGAATAGTAGGGTCAGCTGGGCACCGTCTGTGAGAAAAAGAGCACTATGACGCAATTCACTCCGCCAGAAATGTAGAAATAGTATTCGCGCCGGAAGCTCCAATACAAACATTTTGGAGTGTTTGGGTGTCAGTCTTAGGACAGGGGATTCGGAAAGAGTTGGATGAGTCTAATGGTGATTACGAAGGTACGGCATCTCGGAAAACTTACTCTGATCGTTCTGATAAGAACAAACTTCCGAATTTGTTGATGAAGGCCCCAGATTCAATACGGAGGTAATGCTGTCCTGGCTCAAGAGAGTGGCTTCTGGAAGCCGCTATGTTTGGCAACAGGACTCTGCACCATGCCACACAAGCAGGAGAACCCAGTCATGGCTATCATATAATTTCTGGGAACATATCACCACTTACATCTGGCCACCTAACTCTCCAGACTGCAAACCCCCTTGATTATTAAGTGTGAGGTGCAGTTGAGCGAGAGACCAACAAAGTTCCTTGTAATACCAAAGATGAACTGAAGACAAGAATTATGGCAGCATTCAATAACTTAAACAAGGAAACCATCCACAAGATTTGTAAGAGATTCCGAAGTCGCCTGGAGTCCGTGGTTGAAGCCAATGGTGATTTTATTGAATAGATTTACTCTTTAGTATTTCAAGATATTTTTGTGTAATTTTGGTAAATATGTCTGCTAAAATGAGATGTCACTGTTATTTTCATTTTTGCGTTATTTTGACGACAATTTATCCATTGCACCCTGTATATTGTGTATTTGGGCAGCAATCCCTCTTTTATACAAGTTCCGTTAAAGACAACTGACAAGGTACAAACGAAAACGTACGAACACAAGAAAATTAAATAAAAGCTTAATCGCAGTAACTTGTCAGCCGTCTTAAATGAAACTTGCATATATATATATATATATATATATATATATATATATATATATATATATATATGTAAGCAAATGTAAATGGATATAGATCCGACAGAATGAAGAAAAAAAAAATATATATATAGAGAGAGAGAGAGAGAGACAGAGACAGAGACAGAGAGAGATAATATGACACATTGAGTGTTTTTTAATAAAAGAGTACTCAATCTAATATAACAGAGCTATAAATTATATATTAATAATAAATATACATTTTTTCTTCACCAGTAACACTCCTCTGAGTTTCATGCACAACATGAAGATTGCGTTTGCATGAAACTCATTCTAGTGGCGAGGAAAAAGGAATATTTATGATTAATATATATATATATATATATATATATATATATATATATCAAAGTGTGGTTGGTTTTGCACAAAGCCTTCAACACTATAATCAAATCATATGTGTCTGGGCTGTGGTTCCTAGGAACTGAGCTGCTTGAACCCTCATACGCCAAATGCGAGAGTCCACCATACATATATATATATATATATATATATATATATATATATATATGTTTGTGCAGGTGTATGTATGTTCGTGTTTGTGTGACTGTGTGTGCGTGTGAACTGATGAAAGAACCATTTATTTTGCACGACAGATATATCATCACGTCAATAAACTTAATTTAGGCTGCGTTTTATACAATGACAATTTCAGAGCAAAATTCATCTGATAACTGATAACTACATATCAGGCTACAGAAACTGATACTACCCTGTATACACACACACAACATAAACGTACACACACACACACACATACACATGCATACATTTATATACATATATTTATATAGATATTTAATTGTGTGTTTTGGTAGTTAACCTTCTTCAATGCATGTTTTGTTAAATGAAACTCAGAAGGTAATTTTCTTAAGTTTTTGTTATATATATGTATGTAGACAAAGGCGTTTTGTGAAGTCTCTAGATCCCTCAAAAGATATTTCCTCCTCTCCGATAAAATAAAAACATCTGATGCTTGGTTTCTATCTATCTATCTATCTATCTATCTATATATATATATATATATATATATATATATATAGAGAGAGAGATAGAGAGAGAGAGAGAGTATATTAATCAGCAACCATTCTTTTATATATATTTCGTTGAATATGACAGACAAGGAATATTTTATATGTTTTTCATTTAGTTTTTCTAGTGCCCTAACAATTATTCGTTTATGAGGACTAATAATGTGTACAAACTTTATGTAGTGACTATTGTCCCAAGCGTTTTTTGGTTAATACTTTAGCCAAAGAAAAGGGTGGGGTTAATTTTAGTCGTTAGTATATAAAAATGACTAAAATATCATTAAGGACAGTTTCTAAACTTATTAGCTCACATAAAAAAAATGTTATAAGGACATTAGAAAACTTGAATAAAAACTTACAGAAAATTCCTTCTGTGTCATATTCAGCGAAACACACGCGCACACACACACACACACACACACACACACACACACACACACACACACACACATATAGATCAATTTTACTATGAAATTATCATTATTTATTAATTTAAATGTTCCATAGGTAATTGCAAAATATTCATAAATGATTATGTCGGATACATCAACATTCGCTTGTCAAAATGGTTGACTCTATATCTCACTTATCAGTGCTCCATACGAACACATTTAAACCAGCATGAAATTATATCAACCTCTTTACGCAATGCACACTTGTTGCGAACAAAAATGTCATAAGTACCTCCAACTTTAAAAAGCATTTAAAAGTAATGAAACATAAAAAATGACAAACCTTAATAATATCAATTACGAACAATGACAAAATGTACTGGCCGTATTTAGAAATTAAAAATACGTCTACCTTTCATCAGCTTTTAGGCTATCTACAATATCATTTACACGTCATTTATTATAGAATTATAACTAAAATCATTGAAAAAGCCTAACAGACTATCCGAAAGTGTTCGGAATCAAGAGATATTTGAAGAGTTTCTGCACTCAAGCCTAGAAAAGAAAACACTTGTTTGCATACAAAATATTACAATAAAAAAAAGTACAGAGTCGGTTTTGTTTAATAAAACACAAACACACACACACACACACACACACACACACACACACACACACACACACACACACGTGTGCGTGTGTGTATATGTGTGTGTGTGTGTTCCGTTCACCACCTGATATTGAAAACAGATTTGCTTACCCCACCTTATATTGAAAATATAACTTATTTCGTTTTAAATATCACTATTTGGTGAAAAATAGTATAAAAGTAAGAAAAAAGATAACTTGTGCTTCTTCCTTGCTGACTATTTATTTACTAATTTATTTATTGTCTTTCACAATAAAGATATCTAAACACACTTTCTAATTCATTACACATTTCTTTAGTAGAAACAAATTAATATAGATAATTTCTTTTTCATTTTCTACGTAAACTTTATAGAGACGATTCTGGAGTCATGACGGTATTTTTTATTCTCTTTTTTCAACATTGGAAAAGAAAAAGATGATGGTGATATAAAAAAAGAAAGAGGTTTGTAAGGTATAAATAATTTTTGCGAAAAATGGTTGGTGCAAGAAATTATTATTTCCCAGAAGTAATCTTAGAAAAGCTCAAAGTTTTGTTTCTATGACAATTTCTCGAGAGGAATGACGTATGAAAAAAAACAAAACAAAAAAAAAAAAAAAAAAGACAGAGCATATATGTATGTATATGTATATATATATATATATATATATATATATATATATATATATATGCTGGCATATATATATATATATATATATATATATATATATATATATATATATATATATATATATATATACATACATAGTGTTGGTATTATGTATATATATATATATATATATATATTTTTGTGTGTGTGTGTGTATATAACGCACATAGTGTTGGTATTATACATACATACATACATACATATATATATATATATATATATATATATATATATATATATATATATATATATATATATATATATACATATATATATATATGTGTGTGTGTGTTGATTTGCTGAAAAGTTGTCTGTTGTACCAAGGAACTGCTCTTCCAAACATTATGATGGTTGGTAATGTAAGTTTATTTTGGAAAATGCATCGGATTAAGAACTTTTCGGAACTCTTACATATGTGTTTGCGCGCATGTGTACGTAGATTTCACCAAATTCCATATAGTGTATCACTGTATTATTAGTTAAAAATTTAAAACAAAGTCTCTGTAAATATCTGGTTGATATGTTGCAATTAAAACTGACCAATAGAAAAACAAATAACAACAACCAGCAAATCAAAAAACAAAACATAACAAAATATAAAACAAAACAAACGATTTTTTTGTTTATTTTTTTTTGTTTCTCGTTTACTTTTATTTTTGTTACTTGTTGGGGCAGATTTGTTATTTTTCTTTTTTTTATATCAATCGCATTATTGAAATGAATATATCACAGATGATTATGAAAATGGTAATTTCTGTAATAATAATAATAATAGGGTAGTAGTAGTAGTAGCAGTAGTAATAGAAGAAGAAGAAGAAGAAGAAGAAGAAGAAGAAGAAGAAGACATCAGTGGATTTTTTTTCAGATTTTTTACCGTTTATTTTTATTTATTTTAGCGCTCATTGATAAGGCTAAGTGGTAGATACATTTTATTAACATGTACATATATAAATGAACAAAACCCTAATTTCGCAAAAAAGCATTAAAAAACCCCATATATATATATATATATATATATATATATATATATATATATATATACACCCACATACTTTTCAGTAAGAGCATTAACAGCTAAACCCAATATGCAATTACTACAACCATTTTTTTTCAATTACACGAAAAGTTTTCAGCCAATAGAAGCGACTAGCCCTAATTGTTGCCTTCTAGAATTGTCTAATCAGAAAGCAGGAGTAGACTTGTGTTGTGACGTCACCTGTAAAAGAGGCGGGGTTAATAAAGTCTGCACACGCTTATAATGCCTTGTTACGTTTAAATTTCTCCCATTCAAGTTATGAGGGTGATTTTTACATCTGTGGACACAAAACTGTCAACAGACAACATACAGGGTTTGTTTGTTGTAGGCGTTCTGCACTTTTGGTAATAATAGCCCCCAAAAAGGCAAATCCGACAACAACAAAAAGAACAAAACCAACAGGTAAAAAAAGAAGAAAGAAAAAAAAAGAAAGAAAGAAAAAATAACAACAAAAATTTCAACTGGGATAACATATCTACCATTTTGATATATAAAACGTATGTTTGTCTTTTTTTCTCACACATTTTCACAGCAATTGCATATTATTTACACACACATCTATCTTTTGATATGAACAGACGAACTTTGTACTTATTAGAGCTACACAAAAAATATAAGTAAAAGTAGACATACTTTCTGGAGAGCCTTGCCTTTCTGTTTTTAACTTTTTACATATTCTCATGTTTTAAGTAATAATGTGTATGATTTAAAATACTACATTTATTACTGTTACTGACAAGTCTACTACCGTTGAGCAAAAAAAAAGTTAGGGGTGCAAACTAGTGACTGACCACCTAAGGAGGTGGTACCAAAAATACAACATTAATCAAGAAACTGAATAATACGTTCATTCAATATTACAATCAACTGTTACCACTACAACTACTCCTACTACCATTTAACACCTACTACTACTACTAGTACTACTAATACTACTACTACGTTGGCTCAGAGTTGACCCCTGCTCCAACAGACACATTGGTTCAAACTATGTTTACCCCAACACCTGTGTTAATATTTTCTTGCGTGTTCATTTTTTCGCGGAACAAACCCTACGCATATTTCAGCCCAGGTTTTGACTACCACTACGACTAAATAAGAGAACACATTCCAACAAAAGAAAACTAAGTACCATACTTTATCTATCTATCTATCTATCTATCTATCTATCTATCTATCTATCTATCTATCTAGTTTGTTCCTTTCTCTTTCTCTCTTTGATCTATCTACCTAGTCTATTTCTCTCTCTCTCTCTCTTTCACTATCTATCTATCTATCTATCTATCTATCTATCTATCTATCTATCTATCTATCTATCTATCTAGTCTGTTCCTTTCTCTTTCTCTCTTTGATCTATCTACCTAGTCTATTTTTCTCTCTCTATTTCACTATCTATCTATCTATCTATCTATCTATCTATCTATCTATCTCTTCTGTGCATTTTCTCTCTTGTTTCCTCTCACTCTCTATCTAGTCTCTATCTTTCTCTGATGTATCTAGTCTGTTCCCCTATTCTCTCCCTCTACTTCTCTATCTAGTCTGTTCATCTCTCTCTCTCTCTCTTTCTCTCTCTCTCTTTCTCCAGCTCTCTCTCTCTCTCTCTCTCTGATCTACCTATCTATCTATCTATCTGGATGATCCTGAATCAATCCTCAGTGGGCCCGTTTTTGTAATTTTCTATCCTCCAACGCAAGGCACATCCAGATGCACGAGAAAGCACAAATAAATCGTACAAAAATTATTTATTCAAAATAAAATCATGCATAAAAGAAAGTGAAATTCTTTGTGCATGCTTTACATACACCATATAGAAACGATACACAAGAATTAAAAGTTTCACCTTCGAGCAGATATATTTTATTTACCAATATATTTATAAAAAAAAGAAAGAGAGAAAAACGTACTCGTTCAGCACGAATATAAAACGTGTGTTTTTTTTCCTATGAGCCTGTCTCTCTAATCTCCGTCTATCTGTACATAGATAAATATATACATATATAGATAATCGACAAACATAAATAGAGGCCATTGTTGAGTCTATCGATCCAGGATCTGATCTCTACACTTGGGACAAATTTTCACACCACGTGATTATTACGACCTGTACATATCCAAGAGGCAAACACACACATACATATCGCGACCTTGTGTCAACTAACACTTAACTTTGTACGTTCATACCTATAAAGGAAAATCAAAACGTGTTAAAAGAGAAAATACGAACACAGGACATAAATAAAATTGAAAAGAAAGTAATATCATTTAACAAAATAAAAAAGGGTATCATTGAAAGAAAATTGAATAAAATGATGTCTCTTTTTTTACATTATCTTGCTTTGTGGGCACTCTTTGTCAAGTGTAGATATGCCATTGTTCTCCCAAGAGATGGTCTACCAGGAACACAAAAAAGCGCTCCAACATCGTTACAGAATCGTAATCGGTGGGGGGAGGCTGCCTATAATCACCTTCAGGGTTGGAACTGCTCGGCGGAGCCCTATTTCACTAGCGTGCCGGAATGCCGGAAGATTCTTCAAGTGCCAAAGTCTCAAGTGAACTTTTACCTGGCCGAACCGAAGACTTACGGGAAATACCGCGCCTATTTGCCCGACCGGGTCCTCGACAAGGGAAGACTCCATTCGGGTGTCATGGTTCTGGATCCCTACCCTACAGCCAGTTTCGGACACCTGGTGTTGGTGTTTTTCATTGACCAGGATGTCAGTTTGGCTCACTGCCAGCATTCTAACGGTTTTTCCTCAGGTAAGTTAAAATTTTATCCACCCACATAACAAAGTCCTGGGTAGAGGGGGAGGAAAATGAAATCACAGTTTTTTTTACAACATGCGCATTACAGACACACATACACAGACACAGACACACACACACGCAAACAAACAACCAAACCAAACACATATATAGCCTATATTTTATATATATATATATATATATATATATATATATATATATATATCGCTATTTTCGAATGTCTACAGCTGTTCAGCTCACACACGCGCTTATAAACAAATTTTCTGCATGTTAAATAGAACGGACAGGGAATGTTTGTTCAGTCCTTTTTATGAGTTTCTCCTTATGTCAAAAAAGTCGTTTAATGATAGGTGGAAACTTAAAAAGAAATTGACCGAAATAATTTGGTATATTTTGAGTACTTTCGACCAACGATCGTCGAAAGTACTCATCATTTCGACCATTCCTTATCTCTACATCTGACATCAAACGACTTTTTATATATATATATATATATATATATATATATATATATATATATATGTATATATGTATACACACACACACACACACACACACACACACAAATATATATATATATATATATATATATATATACACACAAACGCACAAATATACTTATTCAAGAAATGCAAATCTCTTGTAACATTTCATTGTCTATATCTGTTAACCTTATTTTCGCACCTGAAACGTAAACAAAGTAATTTTTAAGCAAGTAGTTATTTAATACGACGTTATTTCTTGTTACTATAAACATATTGAATAGGTGCACGTGTTTGGGTAGACATTCTGTTTTTTTTTTCTTAAACAATGAAATAAATGTGTACCGGCCTAGAGTTAGAGAGTCATACCAATGTCTGTGTGAAGAGTATGTACATAGAAATAAATATATAATAAATAATGGATAATCTTCCCCATAAATATAGCAAAATTTAAAATATATATATACATATATACACACAGACACACATATATATATATATATAATGTGTGTGTGTGTTTGTGTATGTATGTATTTGTGTTTGAGTGTGTCTGGGTGCGTGCATGTGCATGCGTGTGTATATATTATGATTCAAAATTGAAATCGTGCTTACTGAAATTTATTGCTTACTTAGCAGAAAATTATATAGTATCCTGTCATGGATATGAGGGTGGCGATTTCTGACATCATTTTTAGTATATATATATATATATATATATATATATATATATATATATATTTGTGTCTGTGTGTCTGTGAATAGATAAAAATATTCCAAGCGAATTCAAACGAAGTATATATCTTCCTCACTTATTTTCATAGAGTCTGTATCCAAAGATGATGTATAATGTAGAAATGCACAATTCATCTCGTTTGACAGTTCTAGCTTTTAATTAATTTCATTTTGGTTGCTTTCAAGCAATTTAAGACTATAATTTCTTTTTCTCTCACTAGTGAAATATCAATTTGAGTTTGCAATGAACACTTTCCTCCCAGTTTTAATTATTTGTCTATATTTGTATATAATCTTTATTTCACTCACTCTGTTCGGTTCTACATTCTTAGAAGGTTACCGAATACAACCACGCGCCTGGAGAAGGTCGGAAAATACTACGGACGAAACGCTGATAACAACAAGTTGAGGGCATTAGTTTGAATAGATTAATGTCTAATAACTTCTTATCAACAAAAACAAGAACGAGAACAACATCAACACGAGTCTCGTAACCATTTAGGGTCGTTGGGGTACAACATGTACTCCAGCCGCTAATGTGTCTAGGGTGAGATAACCTGACGGAGCCCATCCCTCTTCATAGAAATTTAAATAAAGATTTTCTTTTTTAATGTTCTGTTAAAACTGGGTGGCGCACTAACTATTTCTTGCTCGAGTGGAATATATTTTAAGATATTTTTTATAACAGACGAACAATGCTTTTGCTTATTTCATAGATAATCTACATGGAAAATAATAAGTGCTTACACATCGGGTTAAGATAGAATTAATCATCGTCTGGTAAATAAAAAAAAGAAAGAAAAAAGAAAGAAAAAAGAAAATAAAACAAAACAGAAACATGTCTTACGATATGTTCCACTAGTGGAACAATGAACACTAAAAGTTATAAGTTAGTTAGACATACACGCATACAGACAAGGACCTCGTGCATTTATTGTACATATGTTGTACACAACGCCTACAGCCAAGCCTGCCACAAATGTAATACCCTGTATTCATTTGGATATAGTCGGTATGCACGAGAAGGGGGGGGACTATGTAGTCTGAGTAGAGCACGGTCTCCATATAGCATCACTTCGGCCTGCCTACTGGAGAGGTCAATCTAATTTCACTACCAAAGGACAGAATTTTGAACAAACGGGGCATAATCATTACCTTGAGATATAATCGGATGCCTCATATTGCGCATATTGAAACATTAATTTTCTTTTTTTTAGCCGACCAGTTTTCATTTTAGCGTATTTAACTTCAGATATTTTTTTTTCATTTTGGTAAAATAACGATTTCATACAATTATATAAGGAATTAATATTTATTATTACTAAGCGTTTTTATTTTGTGGGTACATGTATTTAAGTATATCTGATATATATATATATATATATATATATATATATATATATATATATATATATATATATATACGGTGAAATGAATATCTACCGGCTTAAACATCGAAAGTCTTATTAAAAATTTATTTGATAATCAGTTGATATTTAGGCCGGAAGTAATTAATTTAACTGTTAAAATACGGATATATCAAATCAAATATATGTAGCCATACACGTTTATAGTAATATACAATTAGATTTAAAAATACTGGGTGGGAGGTGTTCATCGTAAACACAAACATATTTCACGACTTAAATTGTTCGAATTTCTTACAAGTCACAAATACCCACTCACTACACACACGTACCACGTACGTATTTATTGCTTTGTTATGTTGCATAGTAAGTTTATGAAATAATATATATATATATATATATATATATATATATATATATATATATATATATATAAAAAAAGAAAGAACAGTAAGATGTATAATCCGGTGTTCTTATTGATGTTTTCTTTTATTTTTACAAAACAGTGCTCAATGTAAATTTACAGAGCAAATCAATTCGTGTAATTTATTGGGGTTGTTGTAAATTCTTCCTTTAATGTCGTTCTTATTATTCACCCCTTAGCCATCTATATCTAGAGACGAGACGCGTTAAATTTGAGCAACATCTAGCCGACACACTGGGGTTAAAATCGGAAACTAAAATGATACATATGACACACTCATATCCTCTCTCCCACCTCACTCCCTCACTTCGTTAACTTTACGTAGACTTGATGAGGTCCGTAAAAAACGTGTAAATTTCTTTTCACTTTTCATTTCAGCTTTTGCAAGTAAAGTCTGATGATCCAGAATCCTGTTAAAGGGGTTATGGTGAAATAGCTTATTACATGGAATCTTAACGTGGTCTGTTTTTTATTCAAACATATCTGCTCTGAATTTCACATTGAGCTCTCTGGATATCATCCTCCTCGGGCCTACCCATACGGATTACCTAAGTTTGCATAAACTATATATATATATATATATATATATATATATATATATATATATATATATATATAATTACTTCACACGTTATTATAGTGAGTACTCGTATTTGAAACAGACTCCCGATTTTGATTTTGATTTTAAACAGTGTGTATTACGTCTTATCGGTGTTCATATTCGAGAAATCTTAAAGAAAATGTGCTCTCCGTCAGGGATCGAGCCACCACTTTTTACTGTTTGATCCGGCGTGCAATACGATTCGGCTACGAAGAGCTTCACAGTTAAGCAGGCTCTACTTTCCCTTTAAGAGAAGTGCAATTTCCTCACCAAGATGTTTTCCCCGAAAGGCCATATCTGCTCTGTTTCGTATCCGAAACGTAAACAAACCAATGGTTTTACTTTTAATCCGACATTTTTATTACTTCAAAATTTATCATATTGGATATTTGTTGTAATATACCTACAGATGATAATGTGTATGTCCTCATTCATATAAATAGAGTACTAAATACTGTATGTTGGTCTGCAGTTGCAGGCAGAGAGGATCCCTAGACGAGTCTATGTCGAAGGGCAGAGTCTCGTGTCGGGAAACACCTACCCGACCCCGTTTTACATGGGGTCTACGGGGAATTTTTTGCCGAGCCCGCGGGCTCCGATACCCCACATTAAATTCGGCCTTGTGCCACATCTGACCGCGTGGGGCTGTTAGTAGATATCCTGCAGATAGAGATTCGTTTCCAGTTGTGCTGGTCAGACTCTCAACCTCCGGACAGAGGATCCCCAGACGAGGCTATGACGAAGGGCAGAGTCTCGTCACGGGAAACAGCTACCTGAACCCGTTTTATACGGGAAATTTTGGACGAGCCTACGGGCTCGGATACTCCACATTAAATTCGGCCTTGTGCCACACCTGACCGCGTGGGGCGGTTGGTAGATATCCCGCAGTTGGAGATTCCTTGTGAAATTCACTTGATTCACTTCTAGCAGTTGACTACTTCTTCTACGCGCCGCTGGCGAATCTTATGTGTTGTTTGTGTCCTAAATATTATCGTTCATTACCAACCTTCGTGTGATTATTCTATTCAGTAACCTTCCCTAGGTTACAATAATATTCATATCTGAAATAGACAGCACCTTTTTATTTTTTACTTTGAACAGTGAGTATTACGTCTATCGGCCTACGTATTCGAGAAATCTTAATAAAGATAAACTGTTTAATATAAATATGGGACGTCTATTTGAAATACGAGTATTCACTAAGAATAATGTTTGAAGTAATAAAAATACCAGATTAAAAATAAAAGCATTAATACTTTATATATATATATATGTGTGTGTGTGATATGCAAATATACGTATATTGGATGTGCGTGTTGCGCAATAGAGCGGAAAGTGTACTTGGCGAGCTGAGTTCAAATTCCAACATAGTCAGTTGCGTTCACTTTTGTAAAAGTGTCTTTGAGAAAATCATAATCCAATTTCTTTTCCTTCCAGCTACGTATTAAATAGCAGAGTAAACTGTATTCTTTAGCCTTGACTGGGAACTAGGGTGAAGTCAACGGGAATTCATTCCACTATCTTTCTCAAGAAAATATGCATATATATGTATATATATATATATATATATATATATATATATATATATATATATGGTGTGTGTTAGTATCTATCTATCTATCTATCTATCTATCTATCTATGTGTGTGTGTGTGTGTGTGTGTGTGTGTGCGCGTTAGTACCGATTTGTCTGTATATCTATCATCTATCTATCTATGTGTGTAGTGGGGGTGTCTGTCTGTCTATCTATCTATCTATCTATCTATCTATCTATCTATCTATCTATCTATCTATCTATGCCTGTGTGTGCGCACGTGTTTGTCTCTGTCTGTTGAAATTTTCTCGGCGCGACCAGGAAAAGATTAAAAAATCAAAATAAATCAAATGTTTGTTCATTTGATCATATTTTCAGAAGTGAGTCAGGCTGACAATTTTTCAGCGCTTTTCGTATTTCTGTTTCTTTATTTGCATCTTTCGTTTGTTTTGAATTTGTAATAAAATATATTAGTTTGATTAAAAGGTTCGTTCAACACACACACACACATACACACATACACACGCACACATAATGTCAGCGCGTCACTTAAATGTGATTGTCGTTACACCCTTTTCTATCATCGACATTAAATTCAATGATGAATGCAGACGAAAATATTAACCGATTTGTTTAAGTCCTTCAGGTGATAAACGAGTTTTAACAAAACACTAATTAATTATTTAACTTCCAAATTACATAAATAATCAAAGAGATGTACACACGATATTTATTAATTGTCCGCATCGGTCAGTCTCAGTAGTACTAGGGTGGCTTGCTAATCCTTGTTGCAAACGCTTGCTAATCCCTGTTGCAAACGCTTGCTCAATCCCATTTTATGTTTCTGTTCCATTCACAGAGTTAGCATGTGGTTTATACAGCAACTATAATGAGAATACCTGGCTTGTATAATATACGACCCCTTGAGCTTACCCTGTGTAGCCCTCGAAGGCTTTTCAAAATAGTAAATTCTTTGTGTTCATCCGAATAAATCCGGCGAATGATTGCGTATGAAAAATCCAGTTTTGTTAAAGCACGATTTTATTCAATCAATATTTCACTGTCTTTGTATCAAATTAAAAAGAAAGATTTTTTTGTCAATCTTCTCTCTCTTTATCTGTTTCTATCTCACTCGTACTTAGTAATTTACTCGAAAAATTTTCATTCTTGCCGATCGCGGCTAATTTTCTGCGGTCAATGTGGCCCGTCACAATTGTGCAGGCCCGTCTTTGACTTCAATCACAGCTTCTGAGAAAGAGCGCATAATTTGACGTGATCAGTAGTTGAACTAGTCTACTACGATGACTAGTAACCTCATGCCACATTTGTCTACCAAATTTAACTCACTAATCTTGGATCACCCTGTGGTATAGTTTCCAGGCACTTCCCAAAGATGCCGCACGCTGGTGTCGTCTATCCAGACCGATATGATGACGAAATCATTTCTTCTTGGTGATATTTAAATCTGGCTTCAAACCACTCGACCACGCTATATGGGGAAAAATGTATGACAAATGTGGAATTTTTTTTTTTTTGGTGGGGACGAATTTCGTCCTTTAGGACTTCATCAGACTAAATTTGTTATGTTGGTGCGACTACACATGCGCACAAACGATGATTGCTGGGGATTTTTTATTTTTTAAATTTTTTTTAATCTAACCGATTTAATTTAGATTTTTTCTTTTTATCATTTTTGTTATTAGATATCCCTCACTGATAATAGAAGTTCCGCCAGGAATGGTGAAATTTTGTAAGAGGCAGGGCGCCAATTTACTATGGATGACCTTGCGATCAAGGTACTCTTTAAACATTTTCGTCGTAGTGAATTTTTTCTCCTTTGATCAGAGCAGCATTTTTTATGTCGAAATTTTGGTCAGTTTCATTATAGTAGGCAACCGACGCATTTTATGTATTGTTTTGTAAAATGTCCTTTTATTTAGATTTCTTGAGGTTTCACCTGCGTATTTTTGTGACAATTATTACAAGTGATCGAATAAATTTCTCCTTCAAGTTTTAGCTTATTGTTTTGTTTAGTATTGATATATAAAATATATAATGATTAGATTATTGATTAGTATTCATATATAAGAATATATATCGTTTTCTCATATATATATATATATATGCATATATATATATATATATATATGCATATATATATATAAAAGCAAGATAAAAGGTTTGTAATTTATTCATATATATATATATATATATATATATGAATAAATTACAAACCTTTTTTATCTTGCTTTTTATCACAATCCTTTCATATTCACAAATATATTACAATCAGATGAGGCAAGAAATGCACTGTAACAATGAGAATCACTTTTAATTCCCAAGTACTTTCCACCTCTTTCTGAGATCATCATCAGGGGTGCAACTGTTAAGGCAAAATCTATTTCTGATTTTTTTTCTTTTGAGTTTAAATGAAACGGCTGACAGTTATGCTTTAGCGTTCATTAGAACGTGAAAACTTATCCATTATACTTGTGAAATAAAAATGATTTTCTTGCCTCATTTGATTGTAATATACGGAAAAATATTTGTGAATATAAAAGGATTATGATAAAAATAAGCTGACATAATGTTTGTAATTTATTCACTCAGACATGCCTAAAAGTTAAATACCTAAACACACACACACACACACACACATATATATGTTTTAGGAAGGTTGTGTCACGCAAACTTTTAACTGGGGTATTCAAAATACAGTTAAAAACAAAAAACAAAACATCGACCACTTTTGTTAGTAGGTCTTATGATGTAATGATTCCGACTACCAATCAGGTCCCGATATGTACAAAAGCGTCTTTAGGATGCTTACCGGACAGTGATGGCAAGCAAGCGCTCTAAGTAATGTCGATCCTCACTGGGTTCAGTACAATTCTGTGTATGTGTCAAATTAGTTATTATACTTACTAGTCTTTATTAGTCTTAGAGTACTTGACCATTATTACAAAGAGTGTTTGATCTTCACTAGGTGCCACATATAAAATTCGACATTAACTAACCTAAAAAGTATTTACATGCAGAAACAACCAATCTAACCTAGATTAATCTTAGAGTTCTTGACCAGCCATTACTAGGGAGTGGGTTTGATACTCACTAAATGCTCCATATAAAAGTCGATATTAAATAATCCATCAAGTGTAGACATCAATCTAATCTAATCTAATCTTAGACTGCATGACCATTACTACTGAATTGGTTCGATCCTCACTAGGGGTCACATGTAAAATCCGGCATTAGCTAATCCAACAAAGGTTGACATGTCATAAAATTAACCAATATAATCTAAACTAATCAGACTGGTAGACTAACTGTTGCTTGAGTTCAATTCGCATTATTTGCTCTTAGGAAAAGTGTAAATTCACACTCTCAAGAGTCGGTACCCTTCACCTGATATATATATATATATATATATATATATATATATATATATATATATATATGTGTGTGTGTGTGTGTGTGTGTGTGTGTGTGTGTGTGTGTGTGTTGTTCCCGCGATGTTATAATAGTTAACGAATAAGTTAGTGAGCGGGAAACGATTCCCCCATTGTCCATGCAAAAGTAAAAGCTGTTACACCTACTGTCAACCTTGGCAAGAAGTAGACCCTATATATATATATATATATATATATATATATATATATATATATATATATATATATGTCCACATACCGAATTTCGCTGAATCAGAGCTCATCCGATTGCTTCAAATCGGGATATATATATATATATATATATATATATATATATATATATATATATAGAGAGAGAGAGAGAGAGAGATAGATAGATAGATATAGTGGATTACGTATATACACATCTACAAACACGTGTTGATATATATTGTACTTGCAGCAAGTATTTTTATTCTAAGTAAATGAATAAATGTTCCTTCATGTACCATGTCATTCAGGGCGTGAGCGTTCATGGCCCTCTAAAACTTTCTTTCCCTTGTTGAGTTTTTATCATCTCTCTTTATCGTCGTTCTGCTACTCATTAAGAAGTTTATTCGCTGGTTCCTACCTGCTTGTCTTGCCTTCAATATGTGTCAATATGCCCTGTGAGAGTTCAATTCTCCAGGCCTCCCATATTATTTGGCCCCAGAAATTTCAGCTGTCCGTCTCTGATTTTAAGTATCAATTTCCTTGTAGTCCCTATTCTAGTTAAACTTCCATGTTACTCACATATTCTGTCCATGGTATTCTAAGCATTTGTTGCTCGGACCTTATCTCCGTCGATTCAAGACATTTCTTCATCAGTGAGGTGAATTTCCAACAGTGAGTACCATATTGGAGATTAGACATTACACAGTATTTTAGCATTCTTTTCTTTAAAGAATTTTTCTCTTCTCATGATACTTTGATTAGTTTCTAGAAAGACATATTTCGCTATCCCGAAAGTGCTAAATAATTCTCGCACATTGAATAAATCAAAGTTGGATTTAAAAACTCGAATTGTGGTACAACGTCATTACTTTATTGAATATGTCAAATTATTCGAAAATTATGCGAGTTTGCATAATAAAAATAGTTACATCAAATACAAAATCTATCTATCTATCTATCTATCTATCTATCTATCTATCTATTACCGACACAGAAACATACACAACCAGTCTAGTCGAAGGAAAACACTGAATTAAACCTGAGAATGGGCTGTTTGGACACTTCATGGTACACTATGCATCATTTCTATGTTATCCGATTTGTGTGTTTGCCCGCATTATTGCATATTTTCTTGAATCAAGAATGAATGAGCCGATTATACCTACGTATTTATTTATTATATACGTAGGTAAGTCAACAATTTCGTCAGCTTATGATTAAAAAAAACAAAAACATTTAATTTGCCTAACACATATTTACTTTTTCAACATAATCTCCTTTCTTGTCAATGCACTTAACTTCCGTTGATCACATAGATTGAATATTATACAATGACAATTCCTCATCAAAATTTCAGTTAATATCTGTGTCACGTAAAGACTTAAGTTTACTCATATTAACATGCAGTAACTTTTTTAGATATTTTATTAGCAATGAATAATGTTGCCACATCTAGTGCTTCTGCTATGTATTTAGAAAGTCTTGATAAAATATAAAGAAGAATCTTAAATGTTATCGGTCCTGACCTGAAAACTCAGTTTCAGTCACTTTCCCATCGCCTGTAACGACGTTGTTTCCCTGTATCTTTATTTATAAATATTTTCATGGTAATTTTTCTGATGAGCTTTCCACTTTGGTTATTCGAGTTTACGAATTTAAGCGCAATACTATATAGATTGGCAGATATGTCTCACCATTTTAATGTTGAAATGGCTAGATGTTCAGATTCTATGCCAAGAGTTTCCTCTCTTGCACTTCTCGCCTGTGAAATTATCTTCCAGCTTTTTGCTTTCCAGTCAAATTTGAGCTTCAAAAATTTAAATGCAATATCAATCGTCATCTTTAACCCTCTTAATTCCTGATTTTTTATACACCTCTCTCCTTATTAATGTTTTTTTTTTCATATTTTTCATCCTCAGTAAGCCTTAGTGGCTTTATCACCTTGCTCGGAGTGAAAGGATTAATGCATATGCACACAAACAAATTCCAACACAGATACATAAGCGTTCGTTTAAATATATAGACGCATCTTTGAGGTATACCTCGTGTCTGATATAGGTATGTTAAAGGCGGATGTCAGAGCTCAGGTAAAAGACAGGAATTTAAGTACTATTCTTCAAAGCTGGCAGGCTTACCACACTTGGAATACGGCGCAACTTCCTCTTCTTATTTAATTTTTCTCCAGTTCATTCTTTTTTTCCGTACTGAACCCACATTTGATACATGTGAGTTTACCGCTAAATGCATGCTCACTTGGATGTGCCCTATTAAAATGGCGAGTGAACCGACTTGACAATTTACAAACCCTACCATAGATATTGCACGTTAAACCATGCTGAATATTGTAATTGTACACAATGGGCGCGGTATCGGCTATTGCTGATAAGACCAGCTTTATGTATATTAGTGTATTCCTTCAAATTTCTATAGTCTATCTTCTCTCTCTCTCTCTCTCTCTCTCACACACACACACACACATATGCATATATATATATATATATATATATATATATATATATGATACTATCGACTTGAGCAGGTGGATGACAGAACGTGATGTGGGGGAGGAAGCAGAGGGAAGGAACTTGCTGAGAGCTGCAAGGGATAGAGGGCGGTGGAGAGCCATGATCACCTATGTCTTGAAAGCACATATAAAAAGAAAGAAGTCTTGGCCTTTGACCGTTGGTGTCAGCACCATCTGTACAATTTCTCTCCCGTGGGATTATCCATAGCCACCCAATGTCTAACCATCTTTGTACAGCTTCACTAGGTTTAGCTTTGAATTTAAAGTTGTCCTTCGCCTAAACTGGTTTCTACTCAATGTTAGAGAACCCAGTCTACCGTGTTATTTAACCCATAGCTCTGGTACAGTATGTAAGAAATCGATTCATGACTTTTCTAATGGTATTTCTGCGAAAGTAAATGTAACGAACTCGACCGGAATTCTAAACGCTACACCTTCACACACACACACACACACACACACACACACACACACACACACACACACACACACACACACACACACACAGAGACACACACACACACATATATATATGATAAAAATTTAGTTTTGAGGTATGCTACATTTATGTATTAAAGTGCCCAATATCAGGGATAGAGTGTATGTAAATATAAAAGTGGACATTGAAGTCAAAACCCGCGTCGATAGTCGGTTTCATGCTTAAAAGCAATGATCTAGCCTGACGATTGTGTTTAAGCATGAAACTGATTTTCGACTGGCTTTATATATATATATATATATATATATATATATATATATATATATATATATATATATGGTGATTGCCACTACTTGGTAGAAGGTCATCTCTTCAATTTTGAATTGAACGGCCATGAGCACGTGAATGACTCAAAAGCCATTTATTTCTGCAGGTTTGCCTACGTATTTTGCAAACTAAAGATTTATGTATCGTCTTAGTTTACATAGCTCTTATGCACCTCAAATGACTTTTCAGACATGCTTCTAACTCATATATTCTGTCACAAAACAGATATAAATTTCTTATGGGCTGTTGTTGATGGGTGTCAACGTAATTAGCCTGCTTGGGATTGGTTACCGTCATGAGATCTTAGATGATTATCAAGTCCCGCTTCGACAAAGAAGACCCTATCATATTGAGCGTATCTGCTGTTTTCTAAGAGTCCATTTCCAAATTCAAGGATTAACCCTCTCTTCATCGAACTCCTTACAACCATTGTTCACTTCTTCACCTCGTAGATTGATTTTCGGACAACGATTTCCAGTCTTTATTATCAATAATAAAAGTTTTAAGATTTGTTTTAGCAACATCCTTAAAACAATTTTTGGGTTTGCCTTTCGATTTTTTCCACGTGTTAATTTTTTTAAAACTAAATGTTCACCCATACAAGGCCCAAGATCCACCCAAGTCACTGAATGAATGAATTTGCTGTATAGACGTAAGAGAAGGAAGTAAAAGCAGAGCTGTAGACGAAGTGCTTAAGATTCTAGTGATCGAGAAAGCATCATCTTGGGTGTCTGTTCTACAAAGTATCGGCTCTTGGGAAGAAGCTACTCGAATGAGACGTCATTCTTCCTGCTGGAGTATGAAGGGAATAAGGAAGATTCGACCCTGGGTATGTGGCATGGCTGGTCTTTATTGTAAAATTCTGAATTGGTGGAACTGGTGAAGTGATGTAGATCTGAATATTTGCCATGGATTAGCGATAGAGTAGCAATAGGCTAAGAACTGTCTGTGGGAAAGGGGAAAGGAGTTGAAAATAATTCGCTTCTCACAAGACCGCGCAAATTCTTTTGAGTCCTGTCAAGGTTGGAAAGTGAGTGTTTGGCAGCTTCAGATTGAGTAGGCATTTACTTTTTATTTTTAAATGTAGATGAGTACTTTTAAAAATAATTTTAAAAAGTTTTTAATGATGTAGTAGTTTTTAATAACAGATCCCTACCGGAATATATTTCGATTTGCTTTATCAATCGGCCAGTCTAGAAAACTTTTATGACAAGTTTTCATATCACTTTATCTCTTCGTATCATATAGCAATATTAATTGCTACTCTTATCTTTCTCTCCCTTTTTGGTTCTAGGAACATTCGCCGTAAACATTTTTGCCTTAGAAAAACTTGACTCAGTAATTTTCGCCGCAGAGAACTTTGTCGTATGAGATTTTTGCCGTAAGACAATTTCGCTACATTTTTTTTTTCGATATCTGACTCACACTTACTTCGATTTAAATATTTTAATAAGCGAAGTTACAGGATCAAAATCCTACATCATTCATCCTCGTCAGTGATGAGCGCAAAAATTTCAACTTGACACCAGAACCTACGTCATGCAATTTTCTTATTGAATTGTGGAATGTCTTCGAACGAACCCAGAATGGTATGATCAGAACCAACAACAGCTTTAGAAGGCCTCCACAAGGCAGTACAGAGCTCCATGACTAACATGCACCCAAATTTATGGAAACTAAAACGTATTTGAAAAATAAAGAGACATTAGCAAAAAAAGAAAAATTGAGATTTAGTTAGAGGAGATGCACGCACACACATACGCAGAAGTACTTATATACACACACCCTTATGTACCAATTACAAATACCGACAGATTAAAATATTTTTTCAATTCCAAATCCACCCGACACTCTGCTTATTTAGAATGACAAGTTTATTAATTTTTAATAAATTCTCTCCGCGGCACGATTATTTTGATTTAGGATAAAAAATCCTACCGGCATGATTATTCCAAATGGCATTTGTATATGGCATAAAAGAGTACTCACAAGACACACACACACACACACACACACACACACACACACACACATATACACGCACACGCACACGCACACGCACACAGAGCCATCGCACGAAGACATATACGTCGCCTGTCCGCCGGTTCATACTCCTCCCGAGTCGTTTGAACAGGAGTAGACGTTTATCCATTATCTCCTGTTTAGGATTGGGTTTTTGGTTCCTTCTAAAGTCTACTTCAACTGTATACTTCTAACGTCTGAATTTTTATTTACTATTTATTTATTTTTTTTCTTTCAATAGGAGCATATGGCCTCGCCTATCGCTCGGTTCACACTCCTCTCCAATCTTTTGAACAGGAGTTGACGTTTATCCCTTGTTTCCTGCTTAGGATTGGGTTTCTGATGCCTTCTAAAGACTTCTCATTCTCTTTCACTTACAGGAGCCTCCATGCGTCTTAGTGGCATTATCACCTTGCTTGAGGTGAATTGATTAAAAAAATCCATATATAGACATTCTCATAGCATGCGTGTCCGCAAACACAAAAAGATACATACGCAACTACTTAAAAACAAACATAAAACAAGCATGAAATCTAAAGCATAAAACCAAAAATAAAACTTAAAACATAAAACAAACATAAAACTAATGAAAGACAAATAAGGCGGATGAAAATGCTTTGATGGTAATAAATAATTGATTAACAGACTATCAAATATTGCAAATGCATACTTTTCGGTGTTACATTTAAACTCATCTGTACACAAAAGTCATCCTGTTTAAATACGCTTACTTTAACACTGAGTTCTTACCCGTCTTGGAATATACTAAATTATATTTCTATACACACGCTCACAATGGCGCATGAACAGGCGTAAGGACATATTTACCGCGTCCAATTTTTACACAAGAAGATGAAAGTGTTTTGCGTCGGTTCATTTTATCATTGTTTGGTCATTTGTTATTTTATTGTTGTCTGTCGAGAGTAAAACCATCATTATTAGCACAAATGAAAATAGTGTTGTTATTATTGTCCTCGAGCGGTAACAACAATCTTAAATGTTAATGGATAAGGAATTGTTTACCTATCTTTTAGTTATAATCCGTTTTGTTTCTCTCTCATTTTCTTTCCACCTGTCAATCAAAGCATTTGCCGCATTTTTATTTCTGCCTTTTCCTTTCCTTTTTTTTTTTTTTATCTTCTTTTGTTTATGTATTTATTTACTTTGACTTACCTTTCATCTTTTAGCGTTCACTGTTTCCACTTGAAAACAATCAACATAATCATCGGATAACTGGGAAGGGGAGAGACAGAGCAATCACATTTTTTGTTTGTTTTTTTTTTTTCTATTCATTTACCTTCGTACTTTAGTTTACTCTTCCTTTCTTTGTTGATTCCTTTCTCTATTTGTAGTTCTTTCTTTCTTTCTTTCTTTCTTTCTTTCTTTCTTTCTTTCTTTCTTTCTTTCTTTCTTTCTCACGTTTCCACTTCCTTCCTTTTCTTCTTCCCTATTTCCCCCCCTAAAATTATTTCTCCATTCTTACGCTTTTCGTGTTGCTGTTTAGTTTAAACATGTTTCTAATAATTACTTTCTTCTTTTATTCCTTTCTTTGCTTCTATCTGTTCAAGAGCTTCTCCATTTCTTACCTGCTTCATCCCGTCTTTTACAGAAGTCTCAGTGAAGATTAACGGTAAATGGTGCTAGTTTGGTTGACCATAACTACTGAGTAATAGCATCGATCCTCACTAGGTGCCATGTACAAAATTCGACATTAAATAACCTAACATGGCGTAAAATGGACAAAAATTTATTATATTCACAGACAAAATAATTATCTTTTCATTGTTATTTATTTCTCGTTAAAATGTGTGTTTGTAATAAAAAGAAATCGATGCACATCCTGCTTTCGAGCTGAACTTGTTCTGTATCTCAGTGGTCAGTGTTCGAGCTCAGATAAAAAAAAAAAAAAAATTAGGACATCGAATACTGATTTTCAAGACAAACAATCAGGCTCTACTGACTTTGTCTCAGTTCAATCTTACTCATTCGTATTCCCCCCCCACTTAGTCTCGTACCGTATTACGCTAATCTAAATATCGAACATCAGTCGATGATCTATTTCAAATGCGATAAAAAATATTTTTAATACGATATCGCTTCAGGACATAGGCGATCATGGCACTTCACAGATTCCTTTACTTTATTATGTGTGAATTGTTATTGGAAAAATAGTGCAGTATTTTCCCGCTACATTCTCCACCTGCAAAAGTAGGTATACAGCATTATAGCAGTATTGTTATTATCATGCGTATAATCAATATACGTTCTGTGTGCACGGGTTTTTAACTGTATACCTACTTTTGCATTCCTTTGTAGAACTCCGAAATTACCTTCTTTTAGACTAGATGCCATTTAATGCAAGATTGATTGATTTGTTTGCTTCTTTTTTACGGCTTATCAACCCTTATTTAAGGCTGAAACATATTTCTAGAACCATAAAGAGGAGAAAAGGCTTGGATAGTTTAACACACATGATGTATTGAAAGGAAAAAGTGTATGGAAAATAGCGAATAAATTATTTGACAAGTTTAGTGAATGGATGGCAGAGTGAATGTTAAAAGATGAGAAATTACACATTATACTTTAATTAAATTAATTGAAATAAGCATGGCGGTTTTTAGGCATATTTACAATTCTCTCATCACAACGTAATACTCTATTAAAAAATCTTTCAAAATAAAATATACTTTTCTAAAACTTTAGTTAAGGTAGATTAACTGATTTAAAGTTTAATTAATCTGATTTTAAACATATCTTTTAGTTTAAAATATCACAGAAATGCATTTTTAACGCGAAGGTGGGTGTTTTATGAGGTCTTGACAACTCTCTTGATGGTTTAGGAATTTTTCCTAAGGGCGACATAAATTGACGAATATAACGGTAACATCTTTATATAATTTTTTTTAACTGCCCAGTAATTTTTAAAATTTAAGAAAATATTCTAAACAATCTAATATTTTATTGAATTTAAGGTACTTTTGTATTATAGTGTAGCTTAAGAAGATACTTGTTGGGGAAATGTTAGAAAGTTACAAATAAATTTTATCTTTATTATAGTTAGCCCGCTTATTTTCAGATTATGTCGCATTTGGACATCCGTATTTACAAAAATCGACAGGTATATACATACATAAAATAAATTTGAAATACTTTTTAAAATATTGCGGGTAGTTGAATTGTAGTGAGCTATTTCCATTAATGATTAGTAAATACAGAATTAATTAATAATATCACTTGGCCGCTAAAAATTGATACAGAATTTTAAAAGCTTTAATAATTTTTAAATTATTCAAATTAAATAAAAATATGTATATTTTATACATAAAAGCAGTTAAAGCTTTTCAAATTGAATAATTACTACATTTCTTCTTTTACGATTCAATGCAGATTTTTTATAAACTGGGACTCCTGTTTGACTAAAAGGTTTTCATGATTTAAATTCTCCGAGGACTTGCCCTTATAATTAATATAATTATTAAGCCCTACAAAAAATAATTTCCTTAAATTTCATAAAATTGAATAAGTGTGGGTTAACAGATGTAAAAAAAAATCCACAAAAATTGTCTAAAAACGAAACAATTTAAGAATAATTTCATTTTTTTTGTGAATAAGTCATGAAAGTTTCCTTAATATTTGACAATTATCTGATTTTTGCAAAAATTTCCAAATCAGTGTGCACAACAAAAAGACGCGAAAATTTCCTATATAAATTTATGGTACAAAGTCGACATCGGAGAAAGGAGATTTTTAACCAAAATTTTGACAGTTCTAAAAAGAATTAAAAAAATAATTGTACATCAAAAATCCCTTGATCTTTTCTCTTAAAAATAATATGAATATTTTGAAGATAAGAATTTGTTTTGGGGCATTTTTTTTTTTTAAATCCAAATTTTTTTAGCAAGTATTTGGAAGTACCTATATATATATATATATATATATATATATATATATATATATACGATTAATACGAAATTTATATGTAGTATGCGTAAAAAACTATAATGTTGTAAAATTTAAGAGTTCTTATATATATATATATATATATATATATATATATATATATATATATATATACAGCGGGTGTAGGCGATATTGGTTCTTCACAACTTCCTGTTTTTTGTAATCGATCCTGATCTAACATCTTGATTTCAGTCGCTTTTTCACCGACGTGATGTGGCTTCTTTTTCTTTTCTACAAATATTTTAATAGCAATTGTTCTGATGTCATTTCCTTCTGGATGCCTTGACTATGTGCATTTAAGTTACTAGATTGGCAACTAGGTCTCACCGTTTTACTCTCGAACTAGTTAGATCCAACCGTCTCTTCTATTCTGTTAGTTTCTTTTCTCACA